TCTGCTCTAGTTGATGGCGTTTTGGTTCTTATCTGTAGCCGCAAAAGCAAAGTACATTCTCCAAGCTACATCTTAGCTTTCTCCTTCCCAGTTTCATCTCCATTTATATCGTCTTTGCTACGTCCAAACACCAGGTAGCTCTCCCACCAGAAAAGGTCCTTATCTTGTCTTTCCATAAGGAATTATAGGCCTTACAGTCTTCACAGCTTTGTTCTCTTCATTTTTAATCCTACACTGCTATCACAGATCTCCTTCCCGCCTTGGGTAACAACTTCAGTGAGACCACTCACAAAGAAGATCTACAGTACAGGACCTAACAGACGCACTTACTAACAAAATAAACTACAGGACATTAATTCTGGCTCTAAAGGCTTCAAATGGTGAACCCCAGAGAAATGTATTTATTGGATTACTACTTGGAAATAGGCCCTCTCAGCCACAAACTCAAATTGTTTTGTCAACCCTGAGCTCTAAGCTGTGAAAGCTACAAACAGGAGCAAGAAAAAAAAACAGAGTGAAGGATACCCCATTCTCCTACACAGCACCCAAGAAGTGGGTGTTTAGAAAGAAAAAAACCCAAACATTACAGTACATTTTGCCAAAGAAGCAAACATAGACAAGCATCTTGCTTGGTGGTTTTTGTTTTGTTTGGGTTTGGGGTTTGTTTTGTTTTTTACTGGTGTTTTGAATTATTCAATTATTTGTCTTCAACATTGAAACTGAGCACTCAAAGAGACACTGGCAGCTCTGGAAAAATATAGCACTCAATTAACTCACAAAAGAAAAATGATACATTCAGCAGCAATATGTATTCCCTAATACAACCTTTGCCTAATGCACTTTAACTCAAAAGCAGAGATGAAAAAAAATAAATCAGTCTTTGAATTTATCCACCCTAGCTAATGTCTCTTGTGGTCTACTCATTTACGAAACCATCTCCACAGCATTACAAAAGCCTTGCCTGGCCCTTAACTGTAAATGGAGAATCATCACAGTGTTCATAACAGGGTCTTCAGGGAGCAGATCACACATAACATTTTTATCAACGATCTGAATGAAAAGTGAAATTAAGACTGATAGAAAAACAGCAAATAATTAAAGGATCAGTCATGATAACTCCTGAACTAACTGGCAAGCCAGCTGCAAGCACACATTTCAGTACAGCTAAAGGTGAAGTGTACCTAGCAACAAAGACATGGGACTATATTTACAAAATGCAGGTTACTATCTTATAAAGCAATGCCTTTAAGGAGGGCATTAACATGATCAATAATCAACTGCACAGTGACTACAGAAATTCATATTGGAACTTCATGGTCAAAAGCATTAGTGAAATTATTTGATGCATAAAAGACAATACGATTACAAAAAGATGAGTTACTTTCTATCCTGTACTTTGCACTTTTGCACCTGCTAGTGGAATAAAGCATCCAGTTCTGGCATACCCAGTTCAAGCAAGACATTGATATGCTGGAGAGGGTTTGGAGGACCACAAGAATGACAAAGGATTGAAACATCTTGAAGTGAAAGTCAAGTTCACTCTCTACTCACTCTCTGCAATTTACCAAAGAAAAAAAGAATTGAAAAGACATGAACTGCAACTAAGTCTATGTGGAAAAAAAAGATAAAAGAAGGGTCCTCGTTCTAGCAGACAAAAGTATAACAAAACTCAACAACTTTAAGTCAAGGTCAGGGAAGTCTGGCCTTGAACTACAGTACACATTTTTGCAAAGGGACAGAGAAAGAATCTTTTAAGCATCCTGTTAGGTGTTTTTGATGCATCTTTTTATCCATGGGAATTTTCAAATTCAAGTTATTTGAGCTATTTTTAAAACATGATGCTTAATCCAAATAAATTTATATAGTCTTACAACCTCTCAGCACAAGAATGTGTGATCTCAGTGATCTTGCTGGAGTTCACCATATGTGAACCAAACAAGTTAGTTTTCCTTTGATTTCAGTTCAATAAAGATCTGAACCGCTATGGTAACAACACAACCTTCCAGTTCCTAGAATCTAACCAGGAAGATACTCAGCTCCTTAATTCAGGACCCAGTTTAAGTGCCTAGCCATCTGTTGTACAGCCAATTACATGATTCACAAGTTGCTACATGCCAGTAGCTGCTCTCAGACCAAATCTTCTAAGGACATATAAGACAGTAAGCTAAAAACACTAACCAGCTCTCACACACATTAATCCCATTTTCCCCACTCACTTTGAAATATCAGCACAGGTCCCAGATACACTTTGCAACAAACCCCATGCAAGTCTTCTCCAAATTCAAACATCTATTTTATGGGTATATTCTAGCCTTGTTTTACAGCTGATGAGGGGCCACAAGACTAAAAGGAATACCTAATACTCTTCAGCAATAGGAAAGTCAGTGACAGGATATGTCAGAGGAACAACTAAAAGTAATTCAGATAAGAAAAAAAAACTAATGCTGGTCACTTAAGCCACCAACCTACAACACTGAGCACTGTTCAGGATTGTGCATCTATGTTTTGCTTATTCTCATGAGGGAAGAAGCTAAAAATTGGCCAGTTATGTTTCTCTTCCGGCTCAATCAAAGCTAGCATACCTACATTGTATGTAACTTCTCCTTTCCCTTTATAGGAGTGCCAGCTTTCACTCACATACTGGAATAATAGCAATGTTGCTCTGAGGCAGCACTGCAACAGTGGTTATTTGTGTTGCAGAATTTAGACAGCGATTATCCATCACAAAAGTAAATGCCTTTTTTTTTTATTGCAGTTTTTTTCTGGTGGGTTTTATTTGTTTGTTTTGGGGGTTTTTTGTTTTGTTTTGGTTTTTTTTTTACATTTACATGTTTAAAGGCACAGAAATTCTCTCTTATTCACAAGTTCAGCAAAACCTTTACTTTAGGAAAATTTAATGTAGAGCCAAATTTTACTCCACAGCATCAATTAAATTATAACACAATACAGACAACACCAACAAAACACTGACTGAGAAAGAAATTCACAGTCAAGTGTCAAGACACAAACCAGTCAATTATAAATCCGCCTTGAATAATCCTAATATTCTTAAAGGCTGAATATTAAAGCTGTTAGGACAACAAGGACAGCCAAATACATTCTAAATATTAATTTTATATAAGTTAATGAAAACTGATTATTATTTGTTCCTTATGTATAATTCATTTTCATGATGTTGGTTAAGTTTCACGTATTTGACATCAAAAAATAAAACATCTTTCTAAGAACTTATGGATTCTTTTTATCTTCCAAATCGAACTTACTTCAGTAGGATTTAAATCTTTTGGTCTCTACATAGGCAAGGCTCCTAGTAATGTCAATGGCAAAGTTTGCTGCAGTAGTATGTGCTAAATTAATTTTCTCATACTCAGTAACACTACGCAAAAAAATTAGTACAACATCACAGAAAGAAAAAAAAACAAATCACAGAAATTAAAATCTGCTCAAATGCATTCAGGCCTTCTCACTGTTTTTTTCCTATATCAGTTAAAAGCAATAAACAAAGCTGCCTAGCAATATGCTATCAGATTCTAAACACATAGTGCCTATTTTCAAAGCATTTTCTAGATATCCATCTAGAAATGTATGTACAAACAGCAAACTGACAGCAGATTTCTGGAATATGCAAAGCCATCTCAATTATTTCAATGCCTACATTGCATATAAGTACAAGCATTAATAAAGCTCATAATTCACCAGCAAATACAAGTAGTATCAACAAAACAACACATCTGGAATAGGAAACCAGAGTTTACTCTGTAATGCTGAAGTTTAGTTAAGAAGATCAATATGTTTCAATTAGTTAAGAAGATCAATATGTATCAAATGTATCAATATACTCATGCAACTGGCCTTCATCTACACATGTAGCTCCTTCCTTCCCACAAATTATGTTGCTTTCAGTTATTATTTTACAACATTTTTGGTCACAAACACATTTTCTACCTTTTTAAGAGGCTCCTTCTCTAAATCCACTGAGGTGGAACACCCAACACTGCACTAAAACACAGTGACAGCAAGATCTACAAACAGGTATTCAAAACATGCAAACCCCCTCCAAAACCACTGTAATCATTAGGTTCACCCTGTCCTTAACTCTTCCCAGACTCATAATGCCTCTGCCTCCTCCATCCCCCAAGGAGCAGTGCTATCCTCACAACTGCTCATCTAACAAATGAATTAAACCAGAAAACCCTACTTCTCTCTGTCCTCCTCTCAAAGGACAGTGCCCCTTTCTTCCCTCAACATTTTGGGAAGTGGGCTGTGTGGACAAGGAGCAGCATGATGGTGCTGCTGAACAAGCAGCGCGTGGGTCCTGAAAAGCAGGTAGATGGGAGAGGTAGCAGCCCTGAAGTACTCTGCAGGAGCAGGAGGGCAAGGGAAGGAGTGCATTTCTGCATTCTATCCAGCTCACCGCATCACAGGGGAAAGTCCTCAAGGGACAGGCTTCAACACCCCCACCCCCCGAAACTTGCTGGAAAAATTAAGGATTAGAAAATTACTAGAGTAAGATGAATAATTTACAGACCATTTACAAAGGCATTCTTTGTCTGGACTCCATTAAAAAAATGTCTACATACTTGAGTAGTCTTAGTACTTAAGTACAAACAAAATATGGAAGTGCCTCATGTTCACAACTGCATTCAAGTGAAAGTGCTGGAAAAGCTACATATGCAAACGTGCTACTAAATTACAACCATAATCATGCCTGCTCACACTGAGAGAGGTGCATGAGCTTATCAAAAGCAAAAATAAAATTGATCCCATTTAGACAGATACATATCCAGCTTGAAAAAGCACAAGATTTTTTTTTTTTCAAAAAAAAAGATACCTAGTTTTTTTTTAAACTAAATTAACAGCTAAGTTAGTAACTGATCTTACTCTGAAAAATAAACATTAACTAACTTGTGTAGGCCACTCACACACCAAAGTAAGCTCTCCCTATCAAAAAAAGGACCAAGAAGGCACATAAGAAATAATCAGACACTTTCAACCAGTACTCAAACCAATTTTAATTGGTATTTATTGAAGGAATATGTTCCAAGGTGACTGACTGTGTCCCTTTAAAAACCACAAAGAATAAGGTCAGTATTTTCTGGACAACATACTTTCCAACATGTATTACACCATTCTGTCTTCTTCCTCTGTAAAATTCCACTGCAGTGCAATTCCATCCATTGACTTGCTTGTATCTTATTTTTAAAGGGGGGGGGGGGGGGGGAAGTAATAAGATTTTAATTTCTTCCAGCTAAATATTCTTGCAGATATTTTGCACTAAAAAATACCATAATTTAGAGTACATGTTCAAAATCAGTTCAATCCATGCTCACTCAGAGCATTATCATAAACACATCAACTTGATAAAACAGGTGTATTTTTAATCTCTTTAAGCAGCAAAACCAAGACTGCATCATAAATATGGCAACAGCAAGTCTGCTGAACCAGCTTCATATTTTAAACTTGTTTTTTGATTAAGACAGACTATGCTTTGTATGAAGAGAGAAAAATTAAGAGAGTGCTCAAGTATATATTCGTAGCTTTGGTGGAAATTAAACTTTTACTGGTTCCTAGTACAATGTTTACAAACAAACCAGAAATTCTAGGTACTGAGTTATTTCTGGCTTTTAGCTTTACTTAAATTGAACAGGTTTTACGCAGTTTAGCAGGTGTGGTTTGCACTTCTCTGGCACACACAGTAACCATTACAGTGTTTATGCATAAACACACAAATAGGATCAGCCAGAGAACAAAGAATGTGCATACAGTTGTAATACTCACTTAGCACTGCATATATTATTCTGGATCTCTCCCACAGTCTCTTCCCCTCTCCCCCCCCTTTTTTTTTTAAAATCTCCATCAACACAGCAAACATCTGCAGCCATCCAAACAGTAGCCTTGGCTCCACAGAACCTAGTAGAAAGACCATGGACTGTACTTTTTCATTACTGGTGCCACTGCTGGCTGTCTTTTACAAGTGTAGATTTCCCTGGCAATTATGATGCCATGTTCAACTGTTCCATTCCTCTGAGCTCTGTGTTAATAAAATTGCATGACTGCAAACGTTTACCTACTTTTAAAGAGAGGTGCATTACACTCCCCAGATTGAGCGAGAACACTGCTAAGTAGCTAAAGGGAAAATTATAGTAGGTGAAGCAGGGTGTATAATATGTCTTTTGAAATGCAGATGAATGAATTTTTAAGTACGTGTCTCTTCTATGGAGACCTTCCCTATCAGGAATAAAATTGAAGTGTCTGCTTAACTGGGGATAACACACAGTATAAACGGTAAGAAAAAGCACTGGTATATTTCTTCCTTAGTATCCTTTACTATGCACTCACAAAGACTCGTCAATGAGGATTTGACTAAATGTGATGAATATTTCAGATGTTCTTTCAAAATAAACATGGAGAGCCTAATACAGTATTTATGGCACAGAAGAATTTCATAAATGACTCCTCCAGTAACCAGAAAGGAGCATTAAAACACAAGCGTGGAAAATGATATATAGTAAACAAAAGGTACAGTACAATGTAGCATGTATTACTTTTGGTCTTAATGTTTGTATCTGTCCAACCTGTTTTCAACAGAAAGGCACTGTTTATTTTCATCCTGTACAGAAGAATTTGTAAATATGTCGGTCCTAAGAAGCACAATTAGAGGGCACTAACCCTCCAAGTAAATAAATGTGCATCTATAAAAACTTAGGAGGATTAGAAAGATACTCACTCTGTGTATTTTTGGAAGAAGGTACTACAAATCCTCCTTTTAAAAGTTTACGATACTGTTTGAGTAAAATACAAAGAAAAAAAGAGTAAATATTCTATTAAAATTTTGAAAGTGTCACTGGTCAGTTACCCTCAATCACTACTGATGATTAAATAAAATGTTGAGATTATAATTTAATAGATACAACAATACCACTTTACATGGCAATCCCACCAATAACAGAAGCCAGGTTTGAGAGTCATGTATCAAAACATTATATTTATAAAAATGCCCTTGTAAAAAATCTGCAAATTATCTAGCTTTTTCTAAGTTTATTGCAGCCATCAGACAGCTGCAACTTAACCTAAGATGACCAACCTCCCCTCTCCCCTCCAAAACCAAAGGAAAACTCCACCAACCCCAACCTACACATTTCATAAGATACCTTCAGGGGTACCATGCGTTACTTGGTGGATGCAAGTGAACAAACTCTTAGGAAATACACTTCAGCACCAGAAAACAAAGACAAATACCAGTAAGCACAAAGAGCAGTACCTAACACAAAGAGGCAACACTGCAGAATCAATTCAGCAATGGGAAAGTTTAACCATAAATAAACATAAGTCCAATGACTAACATTCAATACTATGCATACACACACAAAAACAGACAAACCTTTCCCTTTAAGAGACAAGGAAACAACACTCTTCAAGCTTTTTGGAAAGAGGGGAAATGAACGTATTACAGAATCATAGGAACCTGCTCTGCCATCAAATTAGAGGCAGTGGCAAAATGAATTCAAAGAAAAAACTGAAGACTCAACTATGAGCCCCTACTGCAGACAGACGCCCAATACAACATACCTACCTATCACCAAAAAAAACCTCTTTGACAGAACATGTGTCATAATTTACAAAGCTGAATGACTCATTTACAGTCTTTATTTTGCACACTATTATCAACCGCACAAAACACAGGATGAACAAATGCTAAAGTTTTAAGTCTACGTTGGCATAAAATGAATACTTAAAAGCATACCCATGACATAATGAAAGATGCTAACATTTTAATGGATTCGTTTACCTAACGCAAGAAATAAAAGCACATGCTAGTGTTGTACAATCACATACTGTTACCATAATACACAGGGAGATGGCTTGCACAACTATTACCACGTGAAAAGACAGACAACCTTGAAGCTGGACATACTTGCAAGTCACACAAGGTTATCTGCTCCTTGCTCCATCTTAACTTTGCTTTATCTTACAAATTCACACATCCTTTAAGCAAGTTTCTGAAATGTGTGACAGTGATGACAAAACTGATAATTGGGATGTTTTCAACTACAATTACACTACAGACATTCAGTGTTTGTCAAATCCACCGCGTCAAGTAACTTCTGAAATTTTAATGTACCAAAACAACTCTAAACTATCTTATATTACATTTATCTGGTGTAAGAGAATAGCTCTACAAAGTTTAACAATGTGTATTTCTTCTCATTTTCCTTAGCTTCATCTTACACATACCATCCATCTTACTTGTAGTATCCATCCTCCAAAATGTTAATTTGCAATAACAGAATTAGTGACTTATTTCTGTTCAAAATATTCTAAAGACTAACTGAAAGATGAAACATTGATGTGCTACTTGTTACTTAAAAAAAAAACAAACCTACATTAGCTATGAGTGTAGCAAGTCTGTATTTTGTTATAAAAACTAAAACATTTCCATTTGAATGACCAATCTTTTGTTGTCACATAAGATAGCCATCTTTAAAATCTTGAAGAAATGTGTTACCAAGTGAGACTGAAGGCTGATACAAGTTCACAGAATCTTCAGTCTCACTTAAGGCTTCCTAAAGTTTAAAGAAAAAAGGAAATCAAAACTACAGTAACGTAAGCATAAAACTTCTCTTTTGTTAATTTGGTTTGCATTGTAACATTGACTTCTTACATTGAATTTCAGATGCCACAAAACTGTGTACTAAACACCCCACCAACATTCAACTGCTACCTTTGGAAGTATGAAACTAGGAACAGAGGAAATCAGAGTGAACCTTCAGTGCAATGGAAAGCAAACTTTTGGTCTGCAGACTTGTGCAGAAAGAGTCAAATATGTACACAACATGCTTGGAAAGAAAGAGGAAAAAAAGAACACGTTCTGTGCTTTTAAAATTAGCTAATCTCCTGAAGAGCTGGAAAGCGCCACTTCCCATAAATTAACCCTTTGGTATCCTAATTTGTATGACAAGAAAATGCTGCTTAAAAATGGGAGGGGAAAAAATATTAAAGCAATTATTTGTTACCTTTAAAACTCTTTGCTTCCTCCTCTGAGGCCTTTTGTTTTCAGTTAGAACCTAAAAAAACATCAAATTGCAGAGTAAGTTGTGGTCACAAAGGCACCTCCGATTTTATTATCGAACTGTAATATTGCTTATTATATACCCTGAATGCTTTACATGCGGCACTTTGGAGGGCTGACGGAGGCTCTTACGCGGCCCCTCCACCGCCACCGCCGCAGACGGCCGAGGGGAGAGGCCCCGCCGCCGCCGCCCCCCCGGAGCCGGCCTCGCTGGTGCCCCGCATTCCTCACAGCGGCGCCCACGAGGCGGCCATCTTGCTTCCTGCCGCAGCGGTGCCCTCCTCCAGGCGGCGTCGCGGGCGCGAGCCTCGTGCGGCTCCGCGGCGCGCGCGCGCACACGCGGCAGGGCGCGAGGAGCCGCGAACCGGCCCCAGCCAATGCGGCGGCTGCGGCCCAAAGCGCTCCCACCCCCCCACCCCCTCCTCCCGCGCTCGCGCCGGCCCTGCCCAAACAAAGGGTCTCCTGTGCGGGCGCCGCAGCGGCCGCCCGCAAGAGGCGGCACGGACTTCACACGCGTGCGGACGCGGAGCCGGCGCACGGCCTGGTCGGCGGGGGGAGGGACGGGGGAAGCGCCCACGCGGGCGGCGGCCCCGGGGCCTTTTGGGCTCCACCAGGGCTGCGGCTGCTGCTGCAGGCGGGGTCAGGCGAGGACACGGCTCCGGCGCGTGGGCACGCACGTCCGCGCACCCGCACGCGTGCGCACACCCGCATGCACACGTGTACGCGCCTGTGTGCACGCAGGCGGGCGGCGAAGCGCTAGACAACAGGGCCAAACACCCTCCCCGTGAACAGCAGAGTGCCGCGGGGCTCCACACTGGCAACGTTCTCCCCCTGCACCCCGTCTCGTTCTGGAAAGAGTGGAAATCGCCACTCACTGGGAGGAATTACAGAATCATCTCGGTTGGAAAGGACCTTTACGATCTCCAAGTTCAACCTTGACGCCGCAGGCAAGGGCCTGCCCTCAAACAGCTGCGCCAAGCCAAGGGAACTACTGCACGGCACCAGCCCCCTCCAAAATCTCTGCCCGGGGCCAGGACCCCAGCACCCACCATACTCAACCTTCAACAGGCTCACACGGACCCAGCCCATGGTTGTTACGTGCAACCCACACAGCCCGGCTGCGAGATAAGTGTCCCTCTTCATCTATTCTTCTGGCACCTAACGGAAAGTATCTGCTGCAAACAGATAGTGATGGCAACAGGCCACCATACAAACACAAAATACAATTGTTTTTCCGCATCTCCACCTGCTTAAAATGGTCATCTGTGTTGAAGAATCGTAGAATAGTTGGGTTGGAAGGGACCTTCCAAAGCCATCTAGTCCAAGCCCCCCTACATCTTCATCTACATCAGGTTGCCCAGAACCACATCCAGCCTGGCCCTGAATGTCTCCAGGTATGGGGCATTTACCACCTCTCTGGGCAACCTGTTCTACTGTTTTACCATCCTCATTGTAGAGAATTTTTTCCTCATATCGTCTGAATCTCTCCTCCTTTAGTTTAAAATCATTTCCCCCTGTCCTGTCGCAACAGGCCCTGCTAATAACTCTTACCCCAGAAAAGAAAGGAGGGGTCACGGCTCTGCAAGTTTTCACACCAAGCCCTAAAGTATCACAGGGATACACTCTAACCATAGGCAACAAACAAATAACAAGGTATCTAACATACCACTAGTCACCCAAGCATTTACTGAAACAATTTGCAGTTGACATCCAAACCAGAAAGTTGGCCACGCATGACGCACAGAAAAAAAAAAA